AGAAAATCTACCTAGAAACTGAAATTGCAGCATGCTATTTTCCAGCCATGATTTTTTACAACTTTGGAAAATATTCTGCAGTGTTGAAAAGTGTTCTGTAGTGCTGGAAACATGTTCTGCAATGCCGAAAAAATATTCTGCAATGCTGGGAGTGTAAAGAAATGTGCAGGAATGGTGATTTCTGGGCGATTTTGATGTGTAGGATGGTGGGTTGAAGATGAAGAGGTGTTCAAGAGAAAACATGAGTTGGTATGTGAGGAAACCTTGGCTTCTGAAATGGAAAAATCTCTCTCTCTCAAAAATGAAGGAAAAGTAATCTATATATAAGGGCAGTGGCACTTTTGTAATTTCTAGTTAATGGGTCAAAAATGTACAGGTGGATTTAGGTGAGCTGTCAAATTTTTAGTGGCTCCGGGCACTGCTGGCAGCTCTATAGTAATGGCATCATGAATTGCCTAGTGGTTCCAGCAAAGCTTTGCTGGTTTTGGTGAAGAACCGGAAATTGTATATTTCTAATAATGCCTCTAGCCATACGAAAATCCCATTTTTAGGGAGGTGCTTAAGTGCAGCCGGCGAAAACAACACCTACACAGGATTTGGTAGGTTCCTCAAGCTCTGCATGGGATTTTGGAGGATTCTACAAGCAAATAGTTATATTTTGTAGTAGTTTCCAAGGCCATGGAACTTGTGCATCCACCTCTGCATTAAATATGGTTGCAAGTTGCTGATGGTGACCAAGACAGCATTTTTGGTTAGTTTTTAACGGGATTTCCAACCTTTGGTTAGCATTAAATGGTACTGTTCTGAGAATCAAGTTTGCTCCCACGTCTTTGCCACCCATCCCTTTCTGGCAAAGTCAGGCAACATCGCCAGTGCCAAGGTTCGCCGGCACGGATGCCTTGCTTCGCCGGCACGGATGCCTTGCTTCGCTAGACAGGCAACATTCACCCATCCGTTCCTACTAAGCCACTACTCCCATAATATATCCTGAGTAATTCCTATGAGTTTAGATTCATGGGCTTGTGTTTATCTGTAGTAACAGCAAGGCACATGTGAATATATGTTCAAATATTTAAGAATAAGAAATATATAAACATATGCAGTGAAGAAGGAAACTCCCTTGTGTGTTGAAGGGGACTATGTGGATGAATATTTGCTGCTTTTGTTTGTTTGCTGGCCATAGCCGACAATAGTATATTGCTGTTGTGCATGGCTGGCGTTGCACCAGAATGAGGAACAAGTGATATGGGTGTGTATTGTGATATTATTATCCCGAGACAAGCTTTGCTTGCTAACGATACCTATTAACACGTAAGACATAGAAAATATGTGTTATGAGTCGAGATTACTGGCGATTGATAATTTTGTCCCTTTGTGTAGAAGAATGATAATGTACATGATTGCTGGCCATGTTATATACATATTGCGGGGTTAGCCATGAATAGTTTCCCCATAACCAGAGGGACAATAGTGGCCAGCTTTGGGCAAAAGCCTAAGAATAGCCCCTTACCTTGATAAGTTGGACGGTTTTGGCCCCTTACCTTATAATATAACGGTTTTAGCCCCTTACCTATAAGAATGGAAGAAAATAGCCCTTTTTTGTCACTTCCGTTCGTTGGCTGTTACCGTCCGTCACTTCCGTCCCTTCCTCTGTTATCTTTCCGTTAACTTTCTCAAAGCTTCTCCAAGAAGCTTGCTGCATTTTTTTTGAGAATTCAAACCTTTTTTTTTTTTGAAAATTCTAACATTTTTTTTTTACCTTTATTTTTAAAGATGGCTGCTGATGGGAATCAAGATGACCCCACATGTACCACGTCAAGAGAGCCATTACATATATTCCAGGAGGTCCAGTCAAGAGAGCTAGAGCTAAGAAGATGCAAGATGCTTATTTCAACTTAATGATTCTTTGCCTAGTGTTGTTAAATCTCTTTTGCAGGACTTCAAGGATTCTTTGCCTAGTTCATCCATTTAAAAGCTTCTTGCATCTTCTTAGCTCTAGCTCTCTTGACTGGACCTCCTGGAATATATGTAATGGCTCTCTTGACGTGGTACATGTGGGGTCATCTTGATTCCCATCATTCTTGGGTTCGCCTAAACGTAAGAAAAAAAAAATAAATAAGAAAAAAAAGGCTGAAGGAAGGAGAGGGTGGAGAAGAAAATAAGGGTAAATTGGTAATTAAAGATAAAAAATTTAGCCATGTCATCGAGTTTTGCCACATGGATTTCACACGTAATTTAAGTAAAGAAAAAAATAAAATTTTCCGT